TACATTGCACTTTCAGGTAATTTTTTGTTTATGGGTGCAGCACTGCGTTTAGTTTAATAGAAAGGTAAAAATTAAACGAACATGAAATTGACACATAAAATTGTTACCATAAAATGTAGAAAGTTTGAACAATTCCATGATGCTTTATGAGATCTGCCACCTGGAGCCGTTGAACTTGCTCCAAGTTTGGTAGTGTATTAGCATGGTGTTGTCGCTGTGATGTGTTTGCACCCGAGTATATGCTGTGCACATGGATACAGAATTTTCATTCCATAGCAGAGAAGCAGGAATTGCATACCTCTCTCCTTACCGAGGTAAGCTAATGGTCATTGAATTGCAGCCTCTCAAGGGCTCTGAACATCTGGCTAGAAGGCTAGCAGTGCGAGAAGAATCGCTCTTAGCTTTTTCCAGTTAATGTGTTGGGACAACTGAGAGGCGTCCCCAGCGCTTGCTGATTTATCATGTGCCCCCTCCACAGGTGGTCAGAAGTGGTGGAATGAAGGGCATTCTGACCAACAAGTGATTGGATATGATCTACAACAGCAGGGCTTTTGGCACTAGTGGAGCAGTCCAACAGATCAGTCTAGATAGTTTTCCTGTGGTTACTGTTTGACACAGGAGATGAGACCGTATTGTAGCTGCTCTCTACTACGAATAGAATTATGATGTGGTGAGGACAGCAGTGAGAGCATTGGAATCTCTGCGTGAAATAAGGATCGGCCTTGGTAGTGGTTAATTTCATGACAACTAGATGCCATAAATGACTCAATGTATTAGTACACTTGCACGAAGTATTAAGATTACAGGAAATGTACAACTGTTAGACGATTAGTCATACAAAGAGCAGTTTTATACTTTTACCGTACTAAACGTTCATACAGAGTCTATAACAATTAAAATTATGAAACCATACAGAGAGGTCAAATGGGAATCCAAAATGACTTGATGAAAACTCTGCCAACTGTCGGCACAGAATACCGGTATATACAACATTACGGAAAACATACACATTAGCAGTCCCTAGTGTAGACTCGTACCAGATAAACCGGTAAACACATATTCAAAGCGTCAGAACCCAATAAGAGAACTAACCTCACCATGCAGGGTCCATGTAGAAAACAATAGGCAACAAATTGTCCAATCAATGTTACATCAAACCATGAAAAAAAATTCACATGTGAAGATGGGTGTAGTGGTAGCAAATGGCTCGTAATAACATAAAAAGAGGCAATAATATACAAGTGTGCACATGCTTAGAAGTACTAGTACATATTGGTAAATGTGGGCACATTTGTGATTTTTATCCAACTCGCAGTTTCCTTAAAAAAACACTTTTATTTTATGATTAATCATACCTTATTGATTATAAGAGTCCTGTAAAAAAAAAAATGCTCAAACATTATATCAAAGTTATTGATATTTCTACTTACATTGACACCACCTGCTGCTTGGTTATATACTTTTTTTTTCAAAAAATAAAATCACTACGATGAGTACACAAAATTTACTCTTTGAAACAAAAAAGCACAATTATTGTTATTGACCTGATTCATATCCATGAACACAGAGGGCGCTATTTTCTCATTTGGTGCATGAATACACTTTTTACTATTTTCACTGGAATTATAAATCAGATAAAATTAAATCCATTGATTATTACTTTCCTTTGTGCGTAACTTGTCACAGCTGATGAATTTCGTAAACAAATTGTGTCAATGATCATTAATACAGTAAATATTAATTTTCTCCTTTGGTGATGAAAAAAAACTTTTTAAGGAAAAAATATTCTAACTGATGTTTAGTAAATAAAATCTGTTCAGTTTTAAATTTGAACAATCTAATTAGAGCTTTTAATTATTTAATTTAAGGGATGATGAAATTCCACTTAAATTTTATGAAAAATGTTTAAAGTATTTGGACCGTAAAATTTATTAACCTTCTTGACATTTTTACTATGAAAATAAGACCACTATGCTAGCCTAGAGAACTTTCATGAAACTGCCTTTACATGTGAAATCAAGTCCTGACGATAAAATCAGTTCAGACTTTTCCTTTGTTACATGAAGTTTGTAGTACAAATATTATTTATGGAATGTAACATCACTAGGCAAGTTTTATTAAAGTTCTTGTTTAGAAGACAAACGTGGTCCTCTCTTCCTTGGTTTCTTTTCCTTTTTCTTCTTCTTCTCCAAAGGTTCACTTCCCTGGAATAGCATCTATTAAAGTAAAAAAAAAAATGATCTCACTGAGTCTATTGATGACAATAGAGATACTGCTGAGAAAATGTTCAAAATAAAACCATACAAATGACATTCTGTCGCACAACAAAAAGCAAACAAAAAGATTTGTGGGAATACTAAGAAATATTTTCCATAGAAACAACAAACTTGCATTTTAACCATTGCAATTCCCACATGGCAGCCATGTTATTTTGGAATAGAATGATTACTGCTCACTGTAAAATGACGAATTTTCACTGGGTTTAAATTTCAGGCATATTCTGTAGGTTTTAAATTCATGGTTTTATCATTTAGATAATGTGTTCTATGCTCAATTTTACATATTCACTGGGTTTTAATTTAGTGCATTTTCCAGTCAGCGAAATAAGCAAAATTAAAACCCTGTGAATGATTAATCCTTTTACAATATATAATATGTACCAGAGTATACTTATACAGTTTTGTCCATTACAGAGTGCCCTGGGCAATCTCATAGGCGTTTATAGTGGGCAATCTTATAGTGTTAGTTCTTAAACCTCATCTGGGCTATCTTTAGGTGAATTTCCTTTAGAAAGCAACATTTTAGTCATAGACAAAATACATTTCATCTGTCCTCATGAAAGCTATTTCAATACTTGTTTCACTGTTAGAAAGTGCTAATCACCTCTTTAAAAATATTATACTGCAAAATGAATGCCAACAGATCATACACTGATACACTGAGGTTGAGAATAATGAAATTTACTTCCACAATGCAATCTTTGCGATTGTCAATATTCGAAAATTTCAAGATACATTGGTAGTTCCACACAGTATTCTGAATGGTTGGGCATTTCAGACCTATCGGATCAAATCATGACAGATCAATTCCTACTCAAGAAATCTTAGCTTTGTACAAAAATTGCTCATGATAAAAGTTGAAATATATAATTCATAGCAAACCAAAAAAATAATAATATTTTTTTTATTGAACCCTGACTTTATAATAAGCAATGCTGTTGTAACCTGAGCAAAGTAAGTTTTTTTTTGGGGGGGTATGTATGCATTTATGGTCTTTGATCATTTGCAAGATATTTAGATTTGTCCACTGTCCGATCAACTCTGCGTACCATCCAGCAATACTGTCCAAGAAGAAAAAATCTGAGATGGACAAACATTTCAGAGAATCAAAAACAGCACAATTCTGTGGTCTTTCGAAATTTTAGTGGAGTTTTTAGCCAATAGATGGCCCACCTACATAAACCTCACCCACTAGGGCCTGGTATACTTGACAAATAAGGTGGTAAATGAATTACCAGTACATGACTAATCTAAAGTTGTCAAGAGTATATGAATAATAAATTTGAAATCTTTGAATGGAGAGTTTCTGCATATTAAAAAGGCTTAGTTTGAATATGTTACGATATCTTACCTTTTGATCTACAGCATATGGATTAACATAATCCGGATCACGTGGAATTATATTGAGTTCCTGTGACATCTACAATTAAAAAATTAAGATATATCTTAGAGTACACAAGAAGATGGAAATGTCATGTAAATTTACTCCAAGTTTGAAAAAAATAATGATAAAATTATTGTCACCAAACCATCAATGCATATCTCTGAATAACAAAAGCAGCCTCTAAATATAGCCAGATGGGACATGTATATTCACTGGGATATAATAACCACTGTGTTATATAGCCACATGGGGTATTATAGCCCCATTAGTCAATATAACCACTGGGGAATTAAAGTCATATACCGGTATAGTATTATAGCCATTTGAGCCATAATGGCATTCTACTCACTGGGTCATTATAGCCACTGGGGTTTTACTGTCACATAGGGCATTATAGCCAAACGGGTATTACAGTCACATATGGCATTATATCCACATGAGATATTATTTATAGCCACATGGGTATTATAGCTACAATGGTCATTATAGCAACAGTAAGTTATTTATAGCTACACAGTGCATTATTACACATAGGGGCATTATGGTCACATGGTGCACTGTAGTAACTCAGTGCATTATTACCCATGGGGCATCATAGCCACTCAGGTACATGTACATAGAATGTTATTTTTTTGTGTGCTCTTAGTGATCAAATAAAACATTGAGACAAACAGATAGTAGGGATTAAATCAAATATGAAATGTTAAGTTTTGTGATCAACAAGTGCATAATTAATGAATTACGGTAAGTATATGTTAGTTTCCAAAATGTAAGTCATTGTTTTGATATATATGCCGGGTATCGGATATATATATTTATATATTAACCCAAAGTCATATCAATAATAACAAATAAGTTTCATCATGGGAAGGGTATTTTGTAATTCTAATTCAACTTTTACCATATACATATACTACATTGTTCAAGGTACAGTGTAGCCCACTGAATCAATTCTTGGTGTCAGTGGAAAACTATACTACCGTGAAATCTGTATTAGAAGCCGCATCCCTAATAGAAGTCATACACATTCTTTTTGAATAAATGAGAACTAAAAATTCATTATTTATCATATGTATAGATGCTGCATCCCCTCTGTTGCATTGTACCAGCCATTTCAATAGAAGTTGAGGTTTCTAATACAGATTTTACAGTAATATCAGTATGTCGATAAAACCTAATAAGCAATATTTGTTCGGTTACTATGGTAACATCATAATTTTTTTTACTTATTATAATTTTGTGAGAATTTAGACAGAGGGTTCTCCGAACCCGCCTATTCACATAGTTCATACCCACCATAGACTCCGGTCAGTCAAAATGACTATTTTGAACTGTAGGCATTAATCAGTGATTCTGTCGGTGACGAAGAGATAGAATCTACGCCACGAACCACGTGACCGAGGCCATATGGCAGCGCCATAGACGGCTGTACAATCACTCTGGTTCCTTTCTCTCCGCCTCGAGGACTTAGACCAACACTACGGAAAGAGTGGGGTGGTTGGGGGACCCGGAATCTATGGTGGGTATGAACTATGTGAATAGGCAGGTTCGGAGAATCCTCTGCCTAATTCACCATGTTCAATTACCCACCATAGACTCCGGTCAGTCAAAATAACTATTTTGAGTCAGACGCCAATTCGGTTTTCCGAGCAAACAGAAAAATTATGAAAGTTTTTTCCCAGTCCGAGATGAAATACAATAATCACTCAACACCCTGGTTAAGGCCCAAAAACGGGTGATGGCTTACCTTGAATGTGCTGTCCCTGGAGCAAGAAGCTAAAATGTTGCTACGGTGACAGGGTTCGGTGTGCCCGAGAAAGCTAGACCCCAACCCAATTCTGGGGGTAGTAAGCTTTCGAAGTAAAGGCCGAAACAGTTCTGCATGAGGGCATAGGCCGCAAAGCTGGGAGCTGGCAATCGCACAGACCTCACACGCTCGTACTTGGTGTCTCTGCAAGCTCTGTGTTGAGGAAGTTAAAGTATTATAGACCTCTAACACAGTCGCAGTAAACCTCCTGGTTATGGAAGTTGGGGAGGCTGGCCTATCCTGCCTGCCTGGGCCATAACACAAAGACATGTGCCTGGCACCCCGTCCTGAATCCTTAGTACGGTTTGGTAGCAACTCCGTGCTCAAACCGGGCAGAGAAGCAATTCCTCCTGACCCTCCGGCAGACAAAATTTGACAGCCGGGGGATGACGATCGGGTGAGGATCGTGTCCTGGGATTTGGTTCTAGGCGAGAAAACAGATTTGTGTCTTTCGCACAACTTGATTGTCCATAACAGCAGTACATCATCCGAGAAAGACAATGCCCTGCCCTGCTCTGGTCGACGCCTACCAGAGGCGAGGGTCAGTAGGAAGACTATTTTCCACATCGAAAAATTTGAGTGGTACTGATCAGAGAGGCTCAAAGGGCGGTCTGCTTAGAGCGGACAACACAGCCAACAAGTTCGAGTTGGGCAGTTCCCTTGTATGGGGTCTTGGCGTCTGGAAAGCAGTAAATAGTCTCCTAACAGTAGGACAATCGGCTAGTCTTGTTCC